CCAGCTGCTTGACTACGACGGCCGGCCGCAGCGGGTCATCCGAAAGTCCACTTCGTTTCCATACCGGTCGTGGGCGGTGCAATACCTGCAAACGGTACTGCGCTTGCCCCTGACAGTGCTTGGTCTCGTACAGGAGGTGCAGAGCCAGGACATCTATCTTTTTCAAAACTACCCGATCGTCGACGATGAACCGCCGTACCTGTCGGTCAGGATCCAGAACATGAACCTGAACATCGTACGCTCGCGACTCATCCTCCATGCCAACCTCGGTTTACTCGACTGGCTGCTCTTTTACTGGCCGCTCAGTTCGTTCGTGGCCCTCTTCGCGCTGAACTTCGTCTTTTTCTCATTCCTCACCTCGTTGTTTTGGCTCCAGAAGTTAATCGGCTTCGCCATTCGTCAGCTGTCCTCGCAGGACGAAGCCATGACAGCGAATCTGTCGCATTCAGCCCCCGAACGGTCTTTTTCTCCGATTCTGTCCTCCTTTACCGACGAGGCTTCATGATTTGTTCGAGTTTCACTTTTATGCGTTTACTGTGATTGTTATTGATAGCATATTCGATTGTTTTGTGGCGGTTTCTTGTTTGTTTTTAAAAATATTTTTTTAGTGTACGCCGTGGTTTCTATGGAAAAAGCGGCAGAACTTTTGGTTTGGCTCAACTGCAAAAGTATTTGCTTAAACAGTGGTAGGAGTACTTTATAAATTCGATCTATCATTGCATGTGATAATCTTTAACTGATTTGAGGCTAGGGAGGGCAAATCACCTGCAGATGGTGATGCATCTTCTTCCCGGCTTCTGAATCGTCTCCTACTTGCTGTTGGCCACCAACAATGCTGGATGCTTGCCCGGGGAAATACTGCGGACGTACAGCTCTGAATGACTCCGGTCAATTTAGCAAATGCGGCGTAAGTAGATCTGATCTTCTCGAGAATGCTTTGTTCATTTATGTCCACCAATGCCAGAACAGAATGAGTAGGGTGATACTCACAAATAAAACTTAAGCATTCATTGAACCAGCAGTCAGTCCGAGCGTTGACTGACTTTTCTAAAAGTTTGTTCGAGAATGTGCATAAATCTGATTGCTTAATGCGAACTACCAGTTTACTTATATAACTACTGGTATCACTATTACATCTGTTAATTCAACACTCGACAGTACTCTACAGGATTTCTGCGCATATAAAATTTATATACAAGTTCCCTAGCTTCTCGGTTCGTGCTCAGTCCGTCTTCAGGAAACGACGTATTATAGATACCTTTAAGCCGGATCGAACATGAACTGAAACGTTGGAGAACTTATACATAATAAATTTTATATGCTCAGTAATCCCGTAAAGTACCTGTAAAGTGTTTAACTAAATTCTCGCGTAAAAGAATACACCGCCGTATTTACATCTGTTAATATTGTTATGCTGCTAATTTCAACACTGTTGTTGTAAACACAGCTAGCCGTACCCTCACCATTTATGATACTATATATGTATGTCCAAGTTTTTCTTCAGGTGTGGTTATTGTCCTTCCATTATGATTGTCAGGTCATTTATCTTGTTCTCCATATTTGCCGGCGTTACAAAAAATG